CGGGGTGGAGGGGCGGCTTGATGTCCGCGGGGGGAGGGAGCTCCACCTGGAAACAATATTCTAAATTAGCTTTCGCTCACGACTCCGCCTGTGTCGAATAAAAAAACAATTGTGTTCTTCCAAACTGTCTTCTACATTTATGCCAAATTTCATCAAGATCCGTTTAGCAGTTTAGGGTACATGCTGTACAAAAACCATCCATCTAAACTTTCGCATTTACAATATTAGTAAGAAATAAAATAGTAAAAAGTAAGAAGTAACATTAAATTTTTAATTTTGAAAGTATTACCCCTTAATGCATGATATTGCATTTATACATCAGTCTTTTCTTATAGACTATTTTGTAAAAAACATTTTATTCCCTTAATCTATTTCAATTTATGGTATTTAAAAAGATAAATCGTGCATGTAAGGGTCAAGGTTGTCAAAAGTCGCTGAAACTTATTTGAACAGGGTTGTACCTTGTGTGCAGGGGGCGGGAGGTGCGGCGGCGGGGCGTGCGGGCCCGCCCCCGGCGCGAACAGCAGCCCCCCCGCCCCCAGCAGCGCGCCCGCGCCCACGCCGTGCGGCAACCCGGCCGACGCATGAATCTGTTGCTGGATATCAAACATACCATTACTAAATACACATAATTACAATAAAATATATCTGCAAAATAAATGTAACATACATTCCAAATTAACTTCAAATTTTATAAACTTTACAGCATTAAAAAGGTTACATTTAATTATTTCAGGTCTATTCCAACTAGAAATTACTTAATTTATCCTTAAAAAATTCTGGCTAGTAAGAAAATTATCACCATTTATTTTTTAACTCGAAAGGAAACAATTGGTATAAAAAACAGATACAAAAACAAAAATCATGCTAGTGCAGTGCGCTACAGCGATATTAACAGTGATAAAAAACTAATGTGTAGTTAATTACTTATTAATTAGTCACGCTTTACTGCAAAATAATTTAATCATTATGGACTGTCTGTGCATTTTTCACTACATAATTGCTTCAAGATTATTCCAATTAAACATTTTTCATTCAAATTAAATTCAATTAGTATTGTTACCTCTATAGCGCCCCATGTGATATTTTACTAACCTAATGGAGCAGGGTAACAGGCTTATGAGAATGTAATTTGAAGACCTATGAAGCTGTTGTCTGTCAAGCACCCTGGGCATTCGCTCTCCCCTTACACCGGCAATGCGTTCAACTACTTTTCGTTGACAAGTTCACTAACATTGGTAAAAATAATGGCATGTAGTTAATTTAGATTGCATTATTTGTTTCAAATGTCGCGATTGAATTGATTCCTCAAACCAGATTCGTTAATTTCTCTAATCAATTTTCGTGATTTTATTAGTCAACATTTTGAAAGCCGTTATGATTTTCAAATAGTAAACTCACAAGGCAAGTTAGTGGCATTAAATGTGATAAAAGCAGGGAAATACATATTTAAAAAGTTACAATTAACATAGAGTAAATATAGAAATGAATCCTTGAATTTTCAACATGGAGACATTATTAATTCAGCTGATTCCTATTGATTCTTATGTGAAAATTGTCAGCTGCGTCACAAAATGCTCATTACGGTTGTTAAATTATAAACAATCAATAGATATTTACACAGCTTGTTTCAAACAGTGGATTTCCACTGTCCAAATCTATAAAACATTTTTATCTGTGCTCGTTCAATAACAACTTACAAAAGTTCTTACATATGTATGGATGTATAAATAAGTAAAATGATAAGTTATACAAAATTATCCAATGTCTTGTTAAAAAAATCATGATACAAAGTACATGTTTCTTAAAAAAAATCGTAGTAGAGAGAGTAGGCTTTAAGCCCTTTAGTAAAAAGGTTTTTATTTGTTTCATTGTTAAACTAAGAGATAGAATTTAATTATAATTAAACTGTCTTTAAATCACAAGTAATTTTAATCATATATCATAAAAATAAATAAAAACTGGTTTGTTATTGAAACAAATCATCGTCCCAACTATCCCCTCCCTTTATCCTACTCCCATAGGACCGGCATAACTCTATCATACATCATCTCAGTCATCACTACCTTCTTTATCATGTCACCATTCACACATTCTGTCCATCTCTTTCTAGGTCGACCTCTACGGGTGTACCACACTCATAACTAACATTCTCCTAGTTACATGTGTTTCATCCCTTCTTATAACATGTCCATACTAGGCTAACCTTTTACTCCTTAATTGCCCAACCATTGGGGCCACTATTGAAACAAAACATGTAATAAAAATGCACAGGTGTCTTTAGGAATCTAAGTATTTAGCAGAAATCTAAATTAACATTTAGAATTCTCCAATCTACTAGCAGCTAACATAGAATTAACACAAAAAAAAGTTAATCACAACAATAAAAAACAACAAGCTCTATTAATTTTAACTTACAAGAAGTTGCTGTAGGCCCTGTTGTTGTTGTTGCTGCGGACAACAATTAACAAGATAACGCCAAATTATACAAAATACATTTTATCACCTCCAATTATTGGCACTGTATTTACTGCTATAAAAAGCATTAAATATCTTACATTTGTTTATTACTTTTTGTACAGATCTATATGTATATCTATACATATAATAAAACTAGAGTTACTGTTTGTAATTTGCAAAGAAAAATTACAGATTTTTGGGCAGAAAATTTTTGTCTGTCTGTCCGCAAGCCGCGTTTGTTCCGGGTAATCTCCGAAACGGGTGGACCTATTTCGACCTTTTTATCTTAATATTGCGTGGACGAAGTCGCGGGCAACAGCTAGTCAAAAAGTACACTACAACAAAGATACAAGATTCTCGCAAGGGCGGCGTTATTGCTATCAGCAATCTCTTACAGGTAACTCTGTGGGACAGGAGGAAGTAGACAAAAACTTAAGGGTATTTAAAGCATATATCACAGAAACATTTGGTACAAAATGTATGTTATATCACTGTGAGTTCTAGGATTTTTTAAATAAATTTCACATTACAAATAATCTTATGAAAATTCATATATAACATAGGCAAGAATTAGTAATATTATTAAATTTAAACTATGCTATAAATAAAATGGCTACATTGTTTATTTGTCCTTGAACTGTATTTCCTTTTAGTAATTAATTTCATCAAATGGATAACATTTATATATGCATACATCTATACTGATACTAAAATAGTATTTCTGTATTGGATTTATATTTACTAATCATAAATTATTTTTATATTCACGATAGTGCAATTTAATTCCATAAATGTTGAAAAATATAAGTTGATTCAATGCTTTAAAAGTGCCAATAATTGGAGTACAATTTTTAACTGTAGAGAACATTAATATCTTTCTAATAAACAAAACCAAGGCCATTGAAGTTTAAAACCCAGTTAACATTACTATATCAACTTACCCCGATAATAGCATTAAGTTCAGACATAGTGACCTGCTTAGCTCGCTCCACGGCTGACGCTACTTGCTGCTGGTGCTCCTGCGCAAGGAACGGCAGCACCTGCCCTATGATAGCGCTTAGTCTTTTGGCTATCTCCGTCTAAAAATTACATTCCATTACAATTTATTTATTAAATAATACATTAATTAAGAAATTCTACTGTTGTGACATTTATATTGTGTATGTTTTGTTAAAGAAAATTTAGTGTATAAATATACTAGCTTCCGCCTGTGACTCCATCAACATTAAATTAAAAAAAAACAAAAGCAAGTAGCCTGTGTTCTTTCAGACTACCCTCTACAATATCAAATTTCATCAAGATCCATTATGCCGTTTAGGCTACACCCTCTAACAAATATCCATCCATCCATCGAAACTTTCACATTTATAATATAAGTATGAAGTATGATTTGATCAGTGTAACAGTTCAATACATCTGATCAAAGTTTAATACAGATAAAATATATAGTCTCAAATTACACATAAGATGCTTTGTCCCAGTTTTTTTTTCTACATAGACAAAATTGTGGTCAAGAAACAGTAATAAAATGTCACAACAGTAGACAATGTTTACCATACACTTTTTTCCTGTTTTTTACCTGTTTATGCATTTCCACATTCAGTCCATAAGACATTTCATAGTACTGAAAAGAAATAAAAATGATTAATTGTTAGTGCATTTAAAACATTATTTGTAAATGTGTAATTGAAATAAAGTTTACCATAACATAATGTCTTTGCATTTCTGTTTTCTCATTGGCCAGTTTCTCACATTCTAATTTCAAGCTGCAAAGAAATAAAAAGTTAGCCTCATTATTTCAGTAAAATAAGGAAATTAAATAATATACTTTACTCACGAATGATATTGAGCTTGTAAAAAGTTAAATTCTTCTTTTATACGTTCTAACGTATCTGCAATAGTAAATTTTATTGGTCCTGCCGCGGGTTGTGGCCCCTGATAAACAAAAAAATATACACAATAAAATTGTCTTCCGAAAAGTACAGAAAAAGAAAGCTTTTTCGATCCATAATAATTATTTATTTATTATTTATCAAGAAAAGCTTAGGGAGTATAAAAAATAACACAAACCCTTACCGCGGCAGACGGATGCCGCGTCGGCGTCGGATACATTATGACACTAAACTTACGAAATATTTAATAATTAAAGAATCAAATAAAGTTATTTCTATAACTGTGTAGGTAATGTATTACAAACACCATTTCCAATTTATAAACCACTGCTATAAACTAATGTGTACTAGGAAACCACAGTTAGGCGCTAAGGACAATGATATGCACAAACTTTGCTTCAAAACTTTTGAAATATCAGTCATTATTTTGACATATATAACTTTTTGATGATATTTATTAAAACTGCTTTAAACGTACGAAATACGTTATAAATACTTTATACTTATTTCCCGAATAACAGTTTCTGTATCGCAAAATTTAACCATAAATCCACGCCGCAATTTTTGTTCGGCTGTCATGTCATCTATCCATCAATCGCCATCCTTCATTTTTCATTTTATTCATTCATCAAAAAGTAAAAGGCTCACATAGTCGTACTACAAACTACTGTAACTTTATACGTATAATTTGAAAATAGGTGATTTAGTTAGATTTTATGCACATTGAAATAGTTATATTTCTGATATTATTCACATTATTTTTTAAAAAAAAAAACAAGTGCTAATTGGTTTCGAGCATGAAAAGAGATGACCACACGCAACTCGCTTTACGCAAATATTGTACGGACGACCTGTGTTATTCTTCGAAATAGACATATTTTTATTTACCCTTAATTTAAATTAAAAATTTCAAAATATGAAACGCTTTCCTTAGACAATCTAAAGCAAACAAAAAGTCTATTTCTGTGTAACACTGATCTTTATGATTGAAGGGGTCATTGCTTGGAAATTACAGCTTTTGCTATGCCCCGACTTGAACGCACCTGTCGAAGTTCCTATCGGTTACCTATTCTATCTCTACTATTAGTTTGTATCCTCACCACCATTTTCAACCGCAACCGTCAGCGCCAAAATGGCGAAAATTGAATAAGCACAAAATACCATGGTGTACAGCCTATAGAGTAAAATTCAGTGTTACATACTCTTTGGTATTTTGAGTAGTTATTCCTGATTGGTTGGCTTTTAACATTTCGATGGCAGTGGCAGATTGTGATTGTCGTTGACGCGCAGCTGTTCCATGAGAAAGTGTAGTGTCGGAGTGTTTTGAAATAAAATAGTTGGTTGCTTTGTTATATATTGTGAAAGAGTGCTTTTTCAATGATTATTTTTAGAAGAAAGTGCTGTTGTTAAAGTGCTATTTCAACAATTGTGGTTATAGTATTCTAAGAGACCCATTATGGATTTCAAAACAGCCGTCTTCAACGCTGCACGGGATGGAAGTTTAACGCGATTAAGGGTAAGTTATTAGTTAAGAATTAATGTGTATATTGTCACCTATCTATTATTTCTTTAATGCTAAACATATAAGACAGTTAAAGTATTTTTTTCTGGTTGTTTACGAAAAGTCGTCGATTGTAATCAATATGAAATTTAATTATAAATCTACCTCTCAAAACTATCTAATTTGGTTGTAATGATAATCCTAATAAAACTAATGTTATTGTCTTGAATTCGATACACAATGCAAATTTTACAATCATGTTTGTCGTAATTATCAAGCGCAATTCGCAAACATTTGTACGTTATCATTTAGCCACCACGAAGGAATTTTTATTGTATTTAAATGTCACGCAAGTATTTCATCAATCTATTTATATAATTTTCTCAATAAAACGTGTTAATAAAATAATACTGAAATAACCTTTTTAAAAGTCATTATATTACTCAAAAGTTTGATTTTATGTAAAAAAATATCTAAGCTATTGCTTGCTAACATTTATAAAAACGAATGGAGCTTGGGTTTTTTCTAAGAGGTTAACTTTTTAATCTATCTTACGTCTAAATATAATGTACAGGATTCAACTTGTCACATGTAAAAATAATACAATCATGTATAAAGATTTCTATAACTTGATAGGTGAAATTGCCTCCAATTTGTTTACTATATAAACCTGTTAATTTTTATTAAAAAAGTAAAGTTATTCCAATTGAATACTTTGCCATTTTATCACAAAACCTCTAATGAAAATGTGTTCCAAAATCTTACCTAAATATTACTCCTGTCAGAGTATAACAAGAAGTTTAACTAGATAGTTACAAACTGGTTTAATCTTTGAAAAGAATTATTTAATATAAGTATAAATTATTTGTTATAAAAACCTCCTGGTTTTATAGTAGATTTCAATAAGTAATAATATATCAGTGTAGCCCTTTTTAGTAACTACTAGTTGTTGCTCATGACTTCTTCCATGTGGAATTAAAAGTAATATAAAACATAGCATATGTCACTCAATGATAAAGTAGGTTTTTAGTGATAATTTTTTTTTAAGTTATTTCAATACATACAAAAATTACAACCTTTCCTCTTTATAATATTAAGTATAGATATAAACAAGGTGTCATTGGCAACTCTAACCATGTGGAATAAAAAAAAACAAGTTTAGTCTTTTAGACTATTTCTACATCTAGGCCAAATTTTAGCAAGATCGGATTTGCTGCTCTCAAAATGTACTGTAACAAACATCTATCTAAACTTTCGTATTTATAATATTAGTATGATGGATGAGTGTTTAGGCCAGTATTAACCCTATAGATGTCCAGGTTTTTTTTTAAAATGTTGTGTAAACCTATTACGCAATATGTCTACTTTGAAATAGTTTCAAAATGGAATTCTCCTAGCATCATAATCCATTTATTCAATTATGTATTTAGTTATGTCAACTGAACTTATATGAATTTACACAACAATAATGTAAATTATTCTTTTGTTTTTTTAAGTTAAGATTGATTGCCAGTCTGTCCCAAACAAGAACAAAACCATAAACACTTGACACTGGCCCAATCCGCTAAGGGAGTGCCATAAACAAGAAACTGAACTAAGATTGATGGATGAAATGTAAGGAGTAAGAAATATAGTTTCATAGAATTATACTTGTTTTTGCATTGTAATTGTACTCATGCAAATAAATAAGGTAATTAGATGGAGATTCTGGAATAAAATTTGATTAAATATTATTTCTGCTACCTGTAATGCAATGTGAATTAGTGTTTTGTTGGAATAGCATAATGCATATTGCAGCCATATTGGACTAAGCTTCCTTTATGTTCTTTCTTATTGGTTACATATAAAACCATACAAGTGTTTACCATTAGTTGTGTGATGGTAATGCCTAACCATCTAGCCTGTTGGCCCAGTCTGCGACTGTTAATAATGTTCAATAAATTGTATTGTTAGTTGGAATTTACATGTTCTCTTATTAAAGTTTGTGTGTTATTTATTTCTAATCAGATGTACAGTCACAATAAATCAACATTACTTGTAAACTGCAGGGAAAGTAGGTAAGAGCGTCGACCCCATTCAGTTGTTTATTGTTGATGAGTGTACACGCGTGGGCGTGGGCATCTCTCGAGTGAAACCAATCCCAAACAGGATCTCTTCATTACAACACATTCTATTGATTTATGAATAGCTTTGATGATTTCTTCTATAAACATGTGTTTTGTTTGTGTGCACTAGCCAGTATTATTTGAGCTATTATGGTGCTCAAAATAGAGTGCAAACAAATCGACAATTAATTGGATATGTTTTTTATTTATGTTATTATAAATTCTATTGTAGATTTTATAATTAATTGCTTGTTTAAGTGCATTACTCTTTAGTGATGCAAAACCAGATTAATTTGATCTCTCTCGTTTGTTTTGGCTGGATATTTACAAGTCTTTCTCTGACAGGTCAGGAAATCTGGTGGCCCCGTTTAGATGGCTTAAATTTAGTATCACAGTCGGCGGAGTGGCTTACTCATTCCAGATGTGTGAGTGTTGATTCCTAAACTGTAAAACAACACAAATTATGTTCAAGCTATTTTGGTTCTAATTAACATTAGTTAAAGTTCTTTAATTGGATAGCTTTGCATTTTACTTAAATAGTAATAAGTAATTCATTAAACAAATATATGTAGGTTTTAAATTACGTATATTTAGTATTAAGTTAAGGTTTTTTTTGTAACTGGACCGTCTCAGTTTTAGTGCAATAAGCATGTATGGAATTCTATTTTAGTATGTAGTGCTAGAATTATCTGAAAACATAATTTTAGTAATATTATAAATGCGAAAGTAGATGGATGGTTGTTTGTTAGAGTTTCTAGCTTAAACTGCTAAATGGATCTTGATGAAATTTGGCATAGACATTAAGCATAGTCTGCAAGAACACAAAGGCTACTTAGTTTCATTTTTTTAACTCCACGCAGACGGAGTCGAGCAAAAGCTAGTAAGCAATAAAAATAGGAACCATTAAATTATTAGAAGTATATAAATTACGGTATCCTAAAGCCACATTATTGTTATTACTTTGTATGCATAAAAAGTGTGTACATTTTATTTAAACACTTATCATAAGTGGTATAAATGTTATGGAAACTTTCGTTTATTGCATCATTTGATTGTTCTCTTATCACTTTACTTAACCGCCATTTGATGTTGACAATCCTTTATTAAATTATATTTTGTATGAGCTGTCACCCGCAAATGTATTTAGCACAAATTTGGACCACTCCTTACGTCATTTGACAGTTGGGAATTTAAAAAAAAGTAGCCTATAATATGCCTATCCATGACAGCTACCCTTCAGTGAAAGTCCCGTCGAAATCTGCCCAGCCGTTTCGGAGATTGCTCGGAACAAACGCGGCTTGCGGACAGACACAGACAGACATAAATTTTTTAAATGCGGTTTTCGTTATTAGCAACGCAAAAAAATCATCTGGATTTTTTCTTTTGATATTACAGACACTCCAACTTTATTATATATATAGATAGAAGATTTCGGCTGCAATCTGCAATTACTTTTAGAATAGACAGCTACTAGGAATACTTATTGTTGGTGTAGGTTTCCAATAGTATTACAGATAATTTAAATCATTCAAATTAATGATAAATTTTCTTTGTTTTCGTATTAAATAATCAAGAATTATATACATATTACGTTTTCTAAATGGAGTTCTATGTAATGTAATACGTTTCCCAATCATTATTTTTTTTGTTTTTGACTGTTTGCCTTAAAGAGGCATTTACACCGGGCTTGAGGTGGCCGAGCGCAGATGGCGCTTAGCCTAAAACCGTTTGACGTTTCTCATTTGCCTTAAAAATTACGCCAAGTTAACAATTTGCAAGGGAACCTTTGTTCATCAAATGCAATACGAAGGAAGTTGTATTTAGAGCACGCGCCTTATTACCTTTCCTCTATGTCATTTTGTCGCGCGTCTCTTTGTCCGAATGTGAGTCAGTATGCTTTTCTCGTTTAGTTGGGGTGACCATGATTTCTTACAAATCCAAAAATATTATTTTAATATCCGATTGTTGTAATTTTTATGATGAAACTCTCAACCTTAATGATTTCATACTAGTCATTATGAGTTACGACCCGATTGACCCAACTGTGTATATCTTTTTA